TTCGATGTGTGCTTGTCTAAGGTTCTTAATAAATTAAATAAATGTTGAGGAATTGTACTAATCATCAGTGAACCTTAGACAAGCACACATCGAAGTGTAAAGTTCAATCTCTTCACCGCTGGTTACTAAATTAAATAAATGTTGAGGAATTGTACTAATCATCAGTAAACCTTGGACAAGCATACATCGAAGTGTAAAGTTCAATTTATTCCCTGCTGGTTACTAAATTAAATAAATGTTGAGGAATTTTACTAATCATCAGTGAACCTTAGACAAGCACACATCGAAGTGTAAAGTTCAATTTATTCACTGCTGGATACTAAATTAAATAAATGTTGAGGAATTTTACTAATCATCAGTGAACCTTAGACAAGCACACATCGAATAAAACTGGGATTCTTGTAATGGTGGTCTGCAAGTTAAGTACAATTCTTAAAATGTCCTTTAACCACCTCGGTGAAAGAATCAGTACTTATATATATTTTTGAAGAATATGTAGCAATAAGTGTCGAACCGAATGATAAACTAGTTTCAACTTTCTTTCTCGCCGAAATTCTCAATTTTGAAGATGAGAGAAAAACAATAAATTAGTTTTAAGCAGATTGTTCAATGAATAATGCAGCTCTTTGGAATTAAACGAGTGTTTTAATTAACAATGCTCGATATCAGTTTTTTCATGTATGAATTCACACACATCTTCAAACGTTGGTATTTTGATAAACTGTTCATCCATCCTTCATTTTGTATCTTTACAGCGAATTTGCTGATATAAAAATGTTATAGCCGTATATGTTCTGATATTCTAAGTCAAACAACATTTAAAACTGGCCTTTTTTCATATAGCAGAAACTATGTAATTTATCTTAATAATCGCTTTTTAATTTTACTTTTAGAAACCAAAACACATATTAATATATTCTTTGATCAAGCAAAATATAATCATTTAATACGATATTTACAGAAGCACAAACTTTGGTGTCTCAATACTAGATGTTGTCAGGACAGGTAGCCATTTTATGTATTATTTTTAACTATTTTATTCGATTTAGCCAATTCAAAGAACTTTATATTCCACACTTATGTTTCCACGGGACATTGTTTAACTTATTATTATTATTAAGGAAAATTACAGAGATTTCAACTCTAACTTCTAAATCAGAATAAACCTAGAAGCATTAAGTCACTGGCTTTTCAAAGGCTTGAAGAACGTTCTTCACAGACGAATATATAAAAGAAGTACAAATATATGGTCGGTCGGTTACATTAATCTAGAAATAGAATAAGAATAATGTATGTAACAAAACCCGGTGCTCTCAACAAAGTAACAAAACATTACTTCAATCACAATTCTCTAACGTGATGTAAGCATAGATCAGTCGAAGCTTTCTCAATAGTTAGATAACTTACAGGAGTATAATCCAGATGCTCTGGAAGTATTTCCAACAATGATTTCTTCACTGCTCATTGAGTAAGCTTGTGAGATGAGAGCTGTACAGCGAAGTTTGAGGACTCCGTTCCACAGATGAAAAGGTTGTACAGCAAAATGTAAACCCATCTGGGAAGCTTGTAAGCCATTTTTGTGCCTTATATTCTCCAGTCGACAAAGGTTTTCTTTTGGAGACTTGGTAAAACGTTTAAATATAAATATCATTAGTTTATTTCAAAATGTCTATAATTTATTTCAAAAACAGAGGAATCTATGGATTCACTTTAGAACTTGTGTAAAAAAGACCACATAGACCATGACTGATTTTGAAAATTGTGAAAGAAATATTATATTAAATATGATTGATTTTGATAATTGTATAAGAAAGATTAACTGATCATGGTTGATTTTGAGAAACTTGTAAGAAGGGCTACATTAAAAATTGTTATAAAAAGAAGTTAACTGCAGATGGTTTTCGCCCAATTCCTCTTAACTTGTCCATTGTGGCTAGAAATAAGAGATGTGTAATAAATAGTATTTTAGAGCTATCTTTTTTTCTCCCACAGGTAACTATCGAATAAGTTGTACATTCAACATCAAACTTCATCAGTTAGGCTGGACAAAAAGAGACGAAATATTCTATGAAGTGTTATCTAAATATGCAGTATAATACTTTAAAAGTTACTTTTCCTTCTCACCGTCCAGCCTAACTGACGAGTTCTGGGATTGCGAATAGCTTATTGCGTAGGGACTTCTGGGATATAAAAAATAGGTCCTAACTGTCATTTATTTCACACTTTTTACTTCGAACCGCAATGGACAAATTAAAAGGGATGTGATAAAAAATAGATTCCTCGTGGGACAGCGGTAAGCCTGCGGACTTGCTAGGCTAAAATCCGTGGTTCGATTCCTCGCGGTGGACGCAGCATACCTAATGTAACTTTGCCATAACACATATAATAAAGCAATAAAAAACAACTGCAATTAACTTGTTTTAATAACAATATACTGAGCTTGGTTAGTTTTGAAAAAAGTAAGATACATAACTAGACGGTAGCATACCAGAGGTAATTAATGCATATCTAGATAAAGTGACATAAAATCATTAACTTCTATCTGATAAATGTTCACCAATAGCCAAAGTTACTTAATTTTCAATCATCAAAACCATACATTTGTCAGTTTCTCAAAGTTAAAACTTACTTCCTTATCATTCACAAGCCATTTGAGAATTGCAGGAGGCTTAGATGGCGCTGCTACACAGTTTATTTCAACTTTATCACCAATAAGATACTGTGATTTGGTTCCTGTTATTTTCGGGCCTTCTTTAGGTAGAACTAAAATATCAAAAAGGAAATCATTTGATATCGTGTTATTTTCTTAATAAGTCTAACCTATTTGATTTGGTGTAAGGCCTTAAGGAAAAAGCAAGCAGTTAAAAAACAGTTCATTAATTTCCTAGCAAGAATACAGTTAAACATTATCACATTACTCCACTATGTCTGAAAATTCATATTTCAAAATAACAAATAACTTTTATTTAATTATGTAAGTATATATGACACGAATATCGATTTAACGCCTTTTAGTTGGACAGTGACAATCGAATTATTTCCGAGTTGTTAGAAAATCCTCTAGAACCCTTTCACTTGGCGAACATCATCCAGTAAATGAGCCGTATTTAGTGCCTTTCTTTAACCTTCTAAAATAAGTGTTTCTCAAGCGGGAAGACCAGGAAGAAATTGATTTTGGTGAACTACATGTCTAAGCACGTCACAAAGGAACGGAGTATTATAGGATGACACACAGAATAACTAACTTTAGATAAAAAAGTTAAAAAAAATTATCCTACTCCTATTTAATTCTATTGATATGGTGAAAATGAATATTAGATGCGATCAGATGAACAGAATGATAAAAAAAAAACATTTTTGCTTAATGACTTGTTTACAGCACAATGCTAAACAATGGGTTACCTGTACTCTGTTCACCACGGGAATCGAAACCCGGATTTTGGTGTTCTAAGTCCGTAAATAACTGCTGAACCACAGAGGTAGTTCCTTAATAAAATGTTTAATCTATTCTTGTAATAAGCTGTACAGTTTTTATCACCCGAATATCTACTGTGATGACATTTCAAAAGTAGTTATGCAGAAGGGGACATTTTTGAATCTATATTCAAAATACATGTTAAACAATGTGATGTCTAACTTTAAAACGAAAATGTAAATCAGTTTCTAAGGTAAAGTTGAAATAAAAAGTACAAATACAGCTATTTTTAACTATTATAAGTCCAAGACTGCTTGAACTTGTAACACATTCAAAGCGTATTTTACGGTTTATACGTTCAAATTAATTTGGTTGAAAATCGTTTAATAATAAGTGGTTAAGTTCTATTACCATTTATTACTATATCATGTTTTTATATAATTAAAATGGCGTTTATAGTCTGAAAATACATTTTACTTTCACTTTTATAAGTTTCAGTTATGGTAACTGTAGTATTTCAATAATATCATGAAATTATTTGCTTTTGCAGTGAATGCTATTAAAAACCATAATAATGTAAAATATTAAAATTCAACTTCTTTTTCTGCTTTCATAAAATGTAAAATATAAAGGAATTATTTGTTTGCTTATTTAGTGCAAAGCTACACAATGGACGCTCTGTCCACCGCGAGGAATCGAACACTGGATTTTAGCGTTGTTAGTTCGTAAACTAACCGCTAAGCCAACAGGGGATAATTATTTGTAAAAAAAAACTATGCTAAGTATGCAATTGAAGCATATAGCTAAATATATTTTAATCGCTGGTCGTATTTTTAACCATTATTGAAAACTGTTTATGAAAAAATCAAACAACA